TGAAAGACCCAGTATTCCAAACTTGTACCTAAAACCGATATCTCATCAACCGGTGCCGGAAATGACTCTGTCCAAAGTGGTTGAATCGTTCTTGTTGCACCAACACGCTCAGTGTCCACACCCGGTTTCCGTGTGTCCCAAGTTCTCACTCTACCACCCGCATCGATGTCCGGAACCAAGGCCGAACAAACAGAGCAACTTCTGTCAACGTCTGTTGTCCCGCGAATCGTTGTATGGCTCGTTACGTTTACGCCCTTCGCGTAGGGAGGATCGGCATTTCCTGCACCGACGATTCCAGCCGACGGCGGTTATTCGAGAAACAGAGGATGACTTGCTCACCGCTTGCTGTTTCTCGGTAGGTGATTCCTATGGACTGTTTTACTAAGTGCCACCTGAAAATTCGTGATGCATTCAACGGTTTATCAACGAATTTACCTCCTTTATTATTTTCTAGAATTTATTTATAAGAATGTCGATATCCGTTTACCTGTATTCTTATGAAACACATCTTTTTAATTGATATAACCCTTTGCAACACTTTTATGCGGCAGTTTTTTTCGCCTTTTGGTTACTCGTTCAAATGAAGGTGTGCAGGGGAGAATTCGAACGCTGGAAGCAGTATCAATGTAAAGATATAGATTCAGGTAGACTGACGTTACAAAGAAATGATTTGATACGGTTTGCGACACTAAGCCATATCACTCAGTGTATCTAACGGTCGACAACACTGATCACGAGGTTCCGATCCAGGAATCCTCACGTGACTTATGTGACTGAGACTGGTCAAAGCTTTCATATCCTCATATCATACGGTGTGATTTTTCCAAATCTACACTACTAGGAGTTCATGTATAGCTACACTCAGACACTTGTTACTTTGTCACTCAGTAATAAGTAGACGACACGATTCCATCATTCGCATCTATACAGTTGATCGATAAATCTCTCACTTTTATAGAAAAACATAGAATGCTATTATTGTAAATAATCAGTGCTTTCGATTGAGCCCCATGTATTTGGGGTTACTTTGATCATAAATTCGAAACCTCGCGGCTACACTCGTATTTCATTCATCCAACAACCGATTTCTTTTACCATACAGCGCAATGCTTTGACTATACTGCTCTTGTCTGTAGGTGTCATAAAAGGTCGTCTGAGCAGCCCCACAGAACACATTTTGATTAACAGGTTGCCGAATATGGTCATTTCCAGTCATTCGTAATCATGCCGTCATGAACACATACTACTAGCTAAGGGGGGGACTGTCGTGATGGTTAAATTCACATCATAGATTACTGGGTTGATTCTATCTTCAGATCGGATCTGAAATTCACAATGATCGCATAGTTATTTATCCATTCATCGGTTTACACTCCTCTCCCATCCCGATTAGTCTCGATGATCAGATGAATGATTGTGAATTCTCCATGGCCACTTAAATCTGTTTGAATTTCGTAAAAAACCTTTCCACAAAATATTCATCAGTTAGTTTTTTTCTTTGCCGTGGTGTCACACACTGCTCGTTTTATCGTTTACTCCCTCCCAACAGCTCACAGATGATGGCCTATTTTTGGGCGCAACGTCTGGTTCCATTGCCTGGGTCAATGTGGAGGAAGATGGAATGCCGGTGGAACTGTTTCACGTTCAGACATCTTCCATTCGACGCCTGGCACACACACGAGATGGTGAACGTCTTCTGGTCTGTTCTGAATGGGGTGAACCAGCCACAGTGGTGGCTCAACTTCGGCATTCCACGAGCAACAGCGGGAGCAATAACAATAGCAGTCCGTGGGAAGCAGTCGGGGAAGATTATGTGTACGTTTGAGCTGCAAGTGGTTTGTGTGCGTGTGTGTGCAGTCAATTTCCCTGTTTCTTACAAACCATGCGGTGGTTACCTCTTTTATGCATTTGGAACAATGGATAAAAATTTGTTATTCTGCAGACCCACAGTTGTTAGCAGAATTCCAATTCTATAAAGTTACTCCATTTTCGATCTCATGATTTTTACTTCTGCTGTAAGTTTTGCCGAACCGTTTATAGGGTGTATTGGCTGCTATCTAAAATCTGGATCGTTTTTTCCCGTCTGTACTACTTGCAGTTTTCACGTGTCAGAAGCTCGTTATGCGGAATTCAGCAACACCGGGTTGCAAGATCGTTTGGTCGCCACCTACGGAAAGATGGCGAAGGTAAATCTTTGCTTTGTCACTGTCGTGCATTGAGTATAATACTTTTCGCCGTTTTCGTATCCATTATGCAGTAAACATAGTCGTGGCCTCCAACTTGGACGATATGTTTGCCAAACTGATTCCGATATGTGTATGCCTCGGCGGTTCGGCCAGTTCTGCTATATGTAGCAGAAACGTGGCCATTAAGAAAACAGGATAAAGATAGACTGTCGGTGTTCGAACACCGCTGTCTATGCAGCATTGCATGAATCTGGTGGGGCAGCCGGACGAGCAATGCTGAGGTCAGGCGCAGAGTTTTAGGTAAATGCCGTCGCTCACTGGAGCAAATGGTCGACTTCCATAGGTTACGTTGGTTGGGGCATGTGTTACGCATGTCACCAGATAGGTTGCCACGGTGAGCGATGTTCGCCGAGCAGGTAGTGGGTTGAAGAAAGTCAAGGGTGGTCAAACTAAGACCTGGCAGAAGGGTATAAAACCCCTAACCAGGAGTCTGGGTCACGTAGGTCCCGTTAGGCTCCCTGGCTGGGGACCTCGGGATGATCATATCCGATAGTTAGATACACCGAGTAATATAGCTGTGTGTCGTAAACAGTGGCGTTTGTGCATCTTGTCAATTTCTCTGCAACATTAGTCCACTGCAATCCTAAATTTTCTTCTTGATCCTACTTTCGACCTTTCCTGTCTTTCACCTTATGTTCATCCAAGTGGGCAGCCAAAAAACAGCAACCACAACCGGCCCACGAAGGTGCATGGTTAATGGTTGTATAATCTGAATATCTGTATGGTTTTTACAACCGTTTCTCACTTCTTCACGTAACCTCGAAAATCGATACCCGAAACCGTAACTAGCAAAATGGAGTTATTTCCTCAACGCGAACTAAGTCTTGGAAATGACTTGGCAAGCTGCATGGCTAATCGATTTTGGTTCGTTTTCAGATGAAGGATTAGTACTTCTTTGTCTTAGTAGGGTTTACATGGTGCTTAGAAGGTTCATCTTGGATGTTATCGAGTCAACTTATTTAAAACCTGCGTCTTTAATCATTTTCCGGAAAATGAGTTTTTGGGGCAATGAACATCATCGTACAGCGAACTTCGCTGATCGCTGCCAAGCTCCGAATATGTACAAATCGAGTGAGAAGACACAAGATTGAGAGAACTTGGGTCTAATTGGAGGGAGGCAAAGAAAGAGAACCTCTATGATCAACACACAGAGTACGCAATCTAACTCTGCATACGTACCGTTTCAAGCATTCTGACCTGATAAGAAACGACAACAAGAACGCAACTGCCGTTGGTTCGCTGCCATATCCTTCATTGTCTCCAACAAACCAGTTACAGAGTCTTAGACCCCAACCTGGAAGACCGGAGACCCATTCTAACTAATCACGCTGTGCATTTCTTCATGCCCGTTTTCCACTTCATGTGTTAACCTCCGTGATTTCTTTCAACTTGGAGAAGCAGCTGCGAATAAGGCGCTTTGCGGTGGACGGCTGAGCATGCGCAATACGTGTCCTAACCAGCGAAGCCTAATCATCTAAATTCTATGTCATAACTAATTCTCTACCGAGTCATTACCAAACACGCGACAACCTACCTCACAGTTGCTTACGTGCCTGATTCATCCAACCCACGCCAAACTACGTAAACATCAGTAGTCGAAGACTTCTAGATGACGAATATCTTCCACACGTAAGTTAAGGGTTTCGCAACCATGAAGTAGAACTGACCGCACGCGGGCGCAGTATACACGACCTTTCAGTTTCAACAAAACCACATCTGCACCAAAGATGTTTCAGTCCTGCGTAAGCTGCTCCAGCCTTGGAAATGTGGGCGGTTACTTCATTGACTATGCTACCGTCATTTTTCACACAGCTACCTAGGAGAAACATTTCACTATCAAGCATCAGCGTCGGGGCTGTTCTGCTGCTGGACTTCGGCTGTTTTTTTTTCGTGAACCGAATTCTTTCTTGCTTTCACTTAGGAAGCTGAATGGATTGTTTTTCGATAGCCATTTGCCAAAATGATCTTCATCTCGTTATTGTCTAATTTGTCTTGTTATCCCATCAAAATGGGTTCGGATAACTGAAAATAATCATCTTTTGCCAGTCTGGCCAAACCAACATTTCACAATTCTTCACCAGCCTGTGTAATAAGATCCTTTCGGTCTTGCTCTTCTCTATTGATTTGCCTTCAAACATGATATCCTTTTCGCTTCTCATTAGGTATTTGATCTAACGACCGGATCCCGTGTTGCCGATCTTTTCTCTGCTGTGAAACAAAGCGGTTACGTGCTGAACAAAGCCACCTTTTCTCCATCAGATCAACTGGTCCTGAATGACGGTGTGATATGGGATTTGCGATGTACAGGAACCCTGTCCGCTCCCAACGGTTCATTGCACTCGGGTTATTTCAATCGACCCGTGCACAAAATCGACAAACTACAGGATATTGTCTCCGGCGTATTCCATCCCAATGGATTGGAGATTATTGTTGGCTCTGCCGTGTGGGATGTAAGAACTTGGCGTTTGTTGCATACAATCCAGGCCCTGGACCGGCTAGAGGCACAGTTTAATGCGACTAAGGATGTGATCTATGCCGGTAGGTTTTTACGTACCTATGTTTGACAATTTCTCAAGGACTGATGTAATTGTCTTTTGGTAACTTTTTATATATGTCATTATTGTTACTCCCAGATCTTTACTCCTCAATCCGGCATCCTGATTGTCTGGCGTGAAAACGGTGGCTTTCGCCTGGCTGCTGAAGGACCTCTTAGTAAGATGTTTATGTCAAATTTCCGGATGCCTACGTGGATCTTCGGTGGGCCTCCGGAATCTTGATTCAAATAGAAGTGTTTTTATTGGAGAACAAATGTTTTGTGTAAGACATCCAGGACACATGCCAAAACCGTTAACGATAAGAAATCCTGACAAAGTATAGCCCTCTTTCGAGACCCAAACGTTCCCGATCCTCTCTTTTAGTAAATCGGTTTTGTTTGTATCTGGTTTGTGACAGCCCCACACGTAGTGTGTTTTGCTGTCAACGCACTGTCAAACTGTTCTTGTGCTCGAATCCCTCCACCGTTGTCCAACTTCTTCAATCATTCATTGGGAATCTCCCAGTGTCCGGTATCTTATTCTTGAGCACTGATTGTTCAACTTTTTTACACCTAGTAATTGAGACTAAGAGGCGATTGTTATTGTTGTCAATATTAATAAGGTTGATTAATTTTTCCTTAATTTACATTGTCCCACAGAGCACATAATGAGAACACAATTTGGCCAACAATGTCGTTTCATACTGATAATTGGGGACCAATTAAGATACGAATCGTTGAACACTTGGATTACTTTCCCTTTTCCCTCGTAATTCCTTATCTGTATCTGGTCGTATACATTGTGTTGTAATGACATGATTTAGACACACTACAAATGGGCTCTTTTGCCAAATTGTGTTCTTATTATGACTTCTTTTTTTCAGCACAGAACAGATTTACGCAATCCTGACACTTGTAGCCGGGTCTAATGCGCGTCTCGTCAGTCGTATAAATAATTCTTCCTTGTTGTGACACTCCTGTTGGAGTAGCAGATAGCAGCTGACAGCGCAAAATAATTTTTTGTCCAATTTTCATTGCATTTCTGCTTTGAGAATATGCCTAACTCCAGATAGTTCATCAAAGATATGCTTCTTCAACGCTATTGTATTCAGAAAATCTCAATAATTTTTTTACTGAGATCCACCCACGAAACTAACCGTTGTCCGATCTTTCACCAGGTACTTTCGGATTGGACGATGAAGAGTACGCGGAACTGGGAAACAGCCGCTTGGTTATGCCCAATATGTTCCGTACTGTAGATGCATTGGACTACAACCTAATCGCCTCAGTCAACGTTCGCCACCGAATTGAACAGCTTGCTTTGGATACGACCGGTCATTCTTTAGCCCTGGTTGAAAAAGTGGGTGAGAATAGTAGCAATGAGTCAATCACCCAGTGTCGAATCTACATGGTCGGTCGCAAACGCGTAAGTTTGACTGTTGCACAATGTTTCTTCCTATGGGAGCTTCGTCTCGTTTGCTTTTGGCGCTTGGCTTTGTGAAAACAGTTGCATTTGGTGCAGATTCATATATGCTTGCCGGTTCTTTATGCCCAATAAATGTGACTCGCATTTGTTCACTCTATTCATCAATTAATCAATCACGGGGGGGGGGAGAAATTACTCAATACGGCGGCCAATGGTCGCTGATTCCAACTGGATTGGGCATCGGAACAGGGAGCCTAATCATTGCAGGGGGAGGAAGACAGTGACACCTACCATGTCAGCGCGAGANTCGGTCTGTTTGTCTTACACCACTCTCAGTAACTCTTGCATCGTTCAGGATGGCGCCTAAACCCATTCGTGGGGGACATAATATCCGAACGATAACGATAGATTTTCGAATAACTGGATAGCACCTCGGGAAGTTTTGTGACATTTTTTTTATACTTTTCACCGCTGTTAACAAAGCTACTCCCGATTTAAACAACCTCTAGGTTTATGATTCTTCCGTGACCTTATGGCGCGCGGGTTCCGTTAGCCTAGCCTGACCTGTTCCCACTTAACTTGATGTGTGGATGTGTACATCCATCCTGCTTGATTTAGTTTTCTGTGTACGTCAGTTAGTTTCCCAGCAAAATTACGTTTCCGATGATCGATAATCCAGCTGCCATAAAAAACCGTTTGATTCACACGTTACTGACTTAACAATCAAATAATTCGAGATATTTGTTTTGCTCTTTATACTTATGAAAATCACCGTGAATTGCAGCAGATTTTGAGTCATATCGTGTACTTGGGTTAAATTTTTAAACTTTTCACATATAACTCACGGTTACTTCTGGGTAGTGGTGTGGGAAAGTGGATATTGATTTGAACAGTCCATCCTTCATGCAGTAAACTTTGTCTCCTGTCGTTGCTGTTGGCGCAGTGGTAACACACGCTTTACATGCAATGGGTCCAGAGTTCGAAGCCCGGACGGGACGATGGATATGTACTACTGATGTGCTCTAATAAGAGCGAAACTCGAGTTTAGTGCTTCCCCAGTTTATGGTTGACTGCACGAACTGAGGATTGTGCTTGGAGGTGAAGTTTCGAGAATGAACAGTTCAAATCAATTTTCAACTTACGGTTACATTGAGCTGTATGATTTGTGGTATCCTTGTTCAGCCCTTTCACTGCACACAAANNNNGCACACAAACTCATTTTTATGCTATCAACTTGTTATCAAATTGTTAGCTTCAAATCATTCATTTACCGCATTTTTCTTTCCATTCAGGGTGAACGAGAACCAGACAATGAGGAAGAAGAAGGCCGAGAAGATGAGGATGACGACGATGACGATGATGATGATGATGACAATGATGACGACGATGATGAAGATCTACTCAATGCTGAAACTGCTGATGAACTAGCCCAAATCTTGGACGGGTCCTCTTCCGGTAACGACAGGGCTAGCAGTGATTCCAGTGATTGGAGTGCTTCTTCAAGTGAACGGGTTCGAGCCCCGAGACGTCGTTCACGTCGACTCAGAGCTGTCACTCGTGCCCGAAATACGGAACAGCCAGCTGGCGCTGAGGTAACTGAAGGTACTGGGGAGACTGCATCCAATGCACCAGCAGACAGACGAAATGGTGATAGTGATGAACCAATGGATCGAGATGGAACGGGTGAGGATGCCAACAGTGTGTCTTCTTGGGAGACGCTTGAAGAGGAGGAAGTTTCAGACGAGTCCATTATTACGGAAGATGAATAAGGGTTTGAACCCGATTACCCCTCACAGATCAATCGGGACAGTTTCGTACTGCCTCCTCTGCCTCCATCAATATTTGACCGCTGTGATTCACCTATTTCATTCGGTCTCGTTGCAGATATTTCGTTTCGTCATCCCATTGTCACTTGTATTTGTAAAGAGATCACATCTGTATGTACATGATCTACTTCTTTTCCGTTTTTGATTGCACGCAGTTCTAAATTCGATACGCAGTAGATTTTAAGCTAAATCACTTGAGTGGTTCATCATTCCAAGTTCCGGAGCTTAGGTTGCTGGTGGTCACAAATGAACAGTGGATCCTCGCAACCTTGTCTGCTCTGCAATGCATCAGGGCGTAATTAAAAATGTCAAGAGTAAGCTTTTAACCACTCAGGTATTAACATCATCCATGACACAACCATTACCCTCCTCCTTCGCGCCAAGTCCGATTGCATTCACCGTTTCCAGTTTGGATGATCACACCTTTAAATCAGCAGAACGGAAAGTTAGTTGTCACCGGGTATCTGTGTATATCCTGTTGTGGCTTCGGAAACATTCATTCTCGCCATGAAACGAAGCGAAAGGCTCCAAATACATAAACTTGTTACAGACAATCCTTGAAGATGAACGTAACGTTAAAGCAAACAGAGCACTATTTTTACGTTCCGATCTAGTCTCGTCACAAGGGCTCTACAATGAGATGCCAAGGATAAGAGGTTGCACCCGTAGCTGTAATACCTATTCTGGACTGTAACGACTACTCATTGAGCGTTTCTTAAGAGTAGAAAGTAAAATAACTGATGTGCGGATAACAAACAGACAGCTATCGTGCGCGGAAGCTCCAAAAATGTATCTCACTTTGTCGCAATACGACTATAGTTGCCATTTTATTAAAATATTTATATAGATACCAGTGGATCACCATTGGCCTTGTAAACGGAATCTTTGAGAAATTTTGTTTTCTTACTTCGTACGTAATTGGATTTGGTTTTGCCTGCCAATGAAAACGTTGTTATCTCTTGTTTTTCACTTCTAAGCCAGTGTTAAATTCCTTCTTAAGTTCGCGGCAATTATGGCTTCAGTGGGGCTTTCGAGGACCTCGATCGAAGCATCCAATCCAACGATTCATGTCCATGCGCTTGCCTAATCATCGTAAACACTTTATCGATTCATCGTATCACCTCACATTTCTTACCCGACCGACTGAAGTCAGCTACCGTGACGCTCGTCTATTGCTAAATCGGTCAACATCGAAGACAAAGCATCCCAGCTTTCGTGCACGCATACAAACGTCTCTGCCTTCTTCGAAGTTTCCTTTACACAGTCAACTATCAATGACATTCTCGTTGTTAAGTTCTTTGTCCAAAGGGTCCTAATCATTATATTCGTTACGGGCTGCTAAGCGCAATCTCCCTCCAACCAATCCAAGCCTATTCCCTCTGAAAGAATGGTTTTAACTAACCAGGCCAACCTATTCGAAGGTTTAATAGCACGATCAATCGGCCAACTTGTGTCTGTTGGGAGTTGATTGTACCCGAGAAGGAGAAACGATATCGCACCACATGGTCTTAAAGACCATTTCGTGGAACAGTCTGTGGGTGCGTTTATGCTTGTTTTTCTTTGTTCACTACCGCAACACTCGGTTACAAATTGGATTTGTGAGTTCTGCAATTCAGTATGTCGTTCTATTACTCATCCCCGTCCAGTATTGATTGACTGTGGCAACAACGTTCACTATAGACTGTACCCAGATCCTCTCAGTGCTATCTGCAGTGTGAGAATTCGACTAATTGGTGTACCAGGTTGTAAAAATGCTCATTGATATATAGTATCAAGTGGAAACGCGCCTGTTTTCTTCATTCTCGACGAACCTTTCATGTGTCCATTTCACACTTTATCTTGCTTTTCCCTATCCATTTATCGTGATCCCTGGACATTTCGCGCACTCATTCAACACCAGCTTAGGCTGTTTTAATCTACCGACTAATCGAACCATGATAGTGATGCAAACAAGGTTATTGTATCGAATATACCTATATATATA